AGGTTAACAGTTAAATTTGTATCTAAGAATTATCGTGTCACCAGTCACTACTGTTAATGTTAAATGTTGACAAATTAAAGCGATTTACTAAATTAAGGGCTAAATTAGGCTAATTTATGTACAATGTGTATATGCATTTATAGAGTACAAGTAGTTGATAAATTAATATTAAAACTATTAAAATATATTTAATATTTTAAGATAATTGTTTGTTATCACTCAACCACCACATTGTATAAAATTGATTACCAAATATATATGCTAAGATGTTTTAAGTTTCACCAAGTTACACCTTATTGAGAACTAAACTCTAGTAAATTCTCGTAAATTTCATTTTTTTTTTCAAATATATTATAAATTTAAAGATGTAGGGCCATTAATTATGCTTACTATATAAGCTGTGATACAGTCAATTTTGCTTACGATAAAATGATTATTGTAAGTTCAACCAAGTATTTAGAAATCATTTTTGATCAGAATTTAAGATAGGATCTTCAGACTGAATATGTAATTAGTTACAATCAGAAATTTTTTTTAAAGCTTAAGTCATCACAATAAATTCATTATTACGGTTTTTATTGTTATTATTATTAGATAAATTCTAGGCAACTATGACTAATGGAAGAATTAATTACTATTCGAGTACCTTCGAGGCGACCAGCACATATATATGTAAAATTGCGATGATTGCAAAAATCAAGTATTATTAATATTAATTTAATCAATAATATTAAACATAATAGCCTACGTCATGAAAACCTATATAAATTAACAGCGCCGAAAGTCACAGTCAAAAAAATGTAGTCATTTTGTTTGTTGTGGAGGGGATATCATGTTGTTCTACAAGTCGACTTGTTTTTCTCCAGTAAAAAATCAATAACAAAGAGCACAGTGTGATGCTAATATTAAAAATTTTTCTGTAAAAATTGTGGTTTTTGCATGATAGTTGTGAGTTGTGACTTATTATTACTTAATTATAATAAAAAGGTTCCTTTTATTCAAATATCATGAATATTTTATCACGGTCTTAAAATATTTTACCCAACTAACCATTAGGTTTAGCCGGTTTAGGTAAATGGCGTTAAGTCCATCGGGATTTTTTACTGTAACAACAATTAACTCTTAAAGACTAAAACCATATGCTTAATAAATTCTTGGCATTTAATATTTTTTTCAGCATTAAAAAATAAAATTGTATACGATAGTAACCAGTTTTAAATAATTCATTAAATAAGGTACAATGAACTCTCTAGAACCTTGCTAAATTCAATTTCCTGGCACTTAGTATTCACACTTGCAATATTAATATTAACACAAAAAAACAATTATTAGAAATGTACGAGTGTATAAACATGCGTGGTGCAGTTTTTAAAGTGGTGATTTAAAAAATGGATTTTTTTCTTTGTAATTCATATTATTTTATTTTGGAAAATGAAGAAAAAATTGCAAACAATAACAAGAAATTAACATTTTCAACAATCACAGATGACATATTCAGTTCATAAAAAAAAAAAAAAAAAGTCGATGCTATTGAAAAATACATATAGATTAGAACGCGTGGACGTCAACTATTATTATCCTACTTTGAGGATTCATCTTCTTCGACTACAAAATACGGTATCTACGAGCATTAGAAAATACTGCTATGAAAATGTTTCAAATAAGCGGTGACTATTTATTTTCCAACCAAAACATATAATATTAATTTAAATCTTTTAGTTATTTGAAAAATCAGCGTTAATTCTGACAAATTACATACTAATATTAATGGTATTAATGTAAATTTGACTGAAAATAAACAATTAATATTAAAACGCACACAAGCACTAGGTGGTAATTTTAGACTCATGGCTATGGTAAATTTTATTTGTGGTGTAAATAACGATGGATTAGGTATTTAAGTATACATCTCATAAATTGTACATAAAAGAATATAATAACACAGAAACTTTTTGGAAAACATAGTTAAATAAATTACTTTTACATTATTATTTATTATGCCACAACTAATATGAATTTTTTATCAAATACAATGCAATTTAGTAATAAATAAAGTAGATTGTGTTTGAGAGAAAAATAACTATACAGTAAAAGTAAAACCCTCGTATTTCGTTCATGAAAAGCAACCAAATTATTTTTCTTATCGTTTTGCAAATTGATGCAGTTATACCTAAAGGATACGAGTTTCTAAAACAGTAAGTAACATTATATTTTAGCAAATTAATTATAGTTGATTAATAAAAATATACTTTTACTAGTTTTATTTTAGTGAAAAATAAATCAGGTATTCTAATAGACCCATCTTAGGATGTTTTAAAAATGTTCAAATTTAAATTATCCATTAAGTAAAACAAATTATAAATATACATTTTATGTAATCTACCTTATCTACCCAATCGCGTTATTTATTTATTTAATAATAAACGATGTTTATAAGGGTAGTAGTACCTTAGATATACAATGGATACCTAATCTGCGCGAAGAAAAAGTATCATAATTTACACAAGTACACAAAAGTGTCAGAAGCACTCAGAAGCTTTCAACAAAAAGCGGAAAACTTAGAATTAAAAGTAAACATTTCAATTAACGTTAAAATTAACAATATTATATTTGTATAGGCATTTTCGAATTTTTTAAATATTTTATTTTATAAAACGCATAATTTTTACAGAGTGCGGCTAATTTCATAATCGTATATACTACATTTAATATAATTATCTATTTTCAATTTAAAGTCTTTTTAAAATCCCCAATAAATCGGCGATTTATTCTAACTAGAGGAAATTCAACCTATCTAAAAATTGTTTTAAATAATTTATCAATTAATTAGTAGATAATTACATAGACATTAGACAATGGTTCCTTATTTCCACGATAAATTTAAAAAAAAAAATTAACAGTGTGTATTTATCGTATAACTTACTTGTATCAATATTTCCATACAAAATTTAATTTAGAATTTCTTTTCCCAATTCATATATTTTTAATTTCTTAAATATTTAATCGTAATTGTGTAGTGTTCAAGAAGTTATATTATGTACCATTATTGTAAAACGCTCACACCTAATAATTTTACATAGTAAAGAAAAATTTGAGTAAAAATAAAATTCATAGAAAATCAAACACAGCATTATTAAACTATGTTTTTTTATTCTTAAATTTAATTTTTATCATCACAATTTGTTTTTTTTTAAATTTTTTATCATCGATTACATAAAAATAAAAATAAAAATAAAAATACGATTTAAGAAGATTTAATTTTGAACACTATCTTAGCAGGACGCAGTCCAATTAGTACTATTTTAAAAGTAAAGGGTGAAACCGCATACTCTGATCTTCTCAAAATGACTACCTTGCACTGATGAGATGCCAAAAATAATGAGCATAAAAATTAGTAAAAATAAACAATTTTTTTTCTATTACGACCCACAGTCACCTGTTAACTTTTTTTTTGTTAAAGACCTAATAATTCCTCTTTTTAAGAGTGTAAGGTGTTTATAAATTTGTCTGAAACAAGCTATAATATTTACTAGAATGTCGTTCTATCTTTTAATGTACTTATTAATTTGATTAACGAAAAATTTACAACAAAAGGCAAAGAAAAATCGTTTAAAAAAAAAACACGTTTCATTCGATATCTAGAGGAGAGGAATAAGTTTTAAATTTCGAAACTTCATAAACACTATTAAACTTGTTGCTAGAAAACTATTATCTTAAAAAAAAAGGAAAAATAAGCAATTTCTTACTTCTTGTATGGCCCACAGCCACTTGTTGATTTTTTTTTTTTTGTTAGAAAACCTAGTATAACTATTTAGAAGTATGTTACTATAGAAGGATGTTGAAAAAGTCGTTAGAAATAGGCTAGAAAGTTGAACGCACTGTCGCTATAATTTTTTATGTAATCATTATTATAATTTTCGAAAATTTTACATTAAAAGTCCCCGAAAATCTGTTTTTTTTTTTAAAAAAACCACGTTTCATGCGAAATCTAGATGAAGGAATAAGTTTTGAATTTCCTGACTTCATATCCACCATTATATGTGAATGTGTGATTTGTGTAGTTATTTGTATTGTTCCATAATTATTATAGGAATTAGACAATTTACAATATTATGAGTAGAGTCTTAATGAAAAATAAAACGATAATATTGAAATGATTTAATCTTATTTTAAAATTTTTTTTTTTATTTTGTGTTGAACTAAAAAAAATAAAATGTATAAAAAGCTATTGTTACATTTTATTTTCAAATATGTGGTTTACTTCTTTTGCCGTCTTTAAAAATTTGCTGCCTGGAGAAAATGCTCTTTTTCCACTATTAGGTTAACGTGACCCTGATCATAACATACCATAAATGTATAAAAACAGTGTTTGTAATTCATAATTGAGTGTAATGTAACTTCTACTTGGTAAAAAATGTTTTTTGTTTTTAATTAAAAAAATTTTTTTTTTGTAATATTTCATATTACTTAATGTTTAAGATAGTCGACTCAGAAAATTTTCCCCTACTTCCTCCCCTCTGCGGACACCTTCAGACTTGGGTACGATTTTGTGATAGAAAAATTAGTATTTTCACATCGATAATGGTTTAAATATATATTTATTTATCTGAACTCTTTCAACACTAATTTTACTATAAACAATTTAACAAAATAAATTCTAAATAGTGTATTTTTAGTTTACTCAAATGTTTCTTCAAACTTATTATATGACAACTAAAAGTTAAATCAGCAATACTTACTGGTTAATGTGGTAATAGTCTATAGATTAAATATATTGTACAATATAATGAGTAATCAATGGTATTGAAATGATATTACAATAATAAATAAACTTTAATATGATGTATTATAGGTAATATGATAATTCATTGCTTTTTTTTCAAAAATAATATAAAATCCAATTATATGTAGTACTTCTATAATAACCATGTATTTTATTACTAAAAGAAACTATTTTATTATTGAATATTTGCTTGCATTATTCTCATACTAACATTGAGTTAGGTCATTTTGGACTTTGGCCAATTTGATGGTGAAAAAAATTTGTTGCTATCTTTATATTGACGATCATTTTTACAGCATTTCTCCTAAAAATAAATAAACTTTTGATTTCTTCTCGTGGTTCGAAAGGGCATAAAAATATTATTTTACTTGCTTACCTCATTATCTTTGTTATTCCAGTATTTAACTCTACCTTTTACACGGCGTATTATTGCTTTGTCTTCATCCGATTTCGGTTTATATGTCTTAATAATAGTCTTAAAATTCGAATGCTTTGGGCACCACCATTCAGTGCACTGGAAATGTAAATATTTATTTAAGCTTCAGTTTGAGTAAATTTATTAAACAGTTATTATGTTCTTACGTTTTGTAATTTAGTCACTGCGACAGGCGACAGATTAAGACGATTATAGGTGTTTGAATTATCAAATTTAGTACTAAGTCCCTAAGAATAATGTTTTTGTTATTTTAATCAATAAAAGTTGCAGTTTGTTTCCTATTTTATGTTTTGATATTTTTTTTATGAAAAAAAAAATCATTTATTTTAAAATTATAGTTATAAAACATGGGGTACAAAATTGGATAAAGATTGAACAACTATTAAATTATGTAATTATGTTTTATTGTGAAAAAAATTTTTTCTAGTTTATCATTTGAATGCACTATTGTTATTAAAAAATACTTAGCGATTGATTCTAAATATGATACGCACATAGAAGTTATATTCCCGTCGAACAAACATGACAGGCTCATAAATGTCTAGCCCTTGAGGCCTTAACCGATGTGCAAATCCATCCTTAGAATGTTACAGATTATAAGGAAATAGATTTCAGGTTAAAAAAAAAAGAAAAAGTGTATTAAAATTAGCTTGTATCAAACCAAGATATGAAAAAGGTAAAGTTAAAATTTTTTAATTACAAATTACTTAGTTCATACAATAAATTATAATTGTATAATTGTTCTTAAAATAAATATATATAAAGGTTTAAAAAAAGAAAATAGAAAAAATTTGTGAGTTAAAATAAACTGCATTCCAAATAATATATGCTTAGTACTAACTTTTTTCATTTTCAGCTGATGAATTTCTTCTGTGTATTTCTTATTTTTAGAGATTAGATCATGATTATCCTAAATAAATTTTATTTTTATTTTGTACAGTTGTATAAAATGTGTTATGATATGTATTTAAAATAATTATTTTAATTATTATTAATAATCTTAATTAAAATATGGATATTTTAAAATCTTAAATTATATTATTGAAAAAAAAAAAAAAAGGTAAGCTGACTTTTTTTAGCTGTTGAATTTCGTCTTTATATTCTTTATTTTTGGAAGTGAGGATCGATATTAAATCATTAAGATTACGATTTTTCTATAGAAGTAAAAAAAAAAAAAACGCATGTAAAATTTTAACAGTTATGGTCTTATTATGAAATAATGTTATTATGTGGAATTGTTGAATATACAAATAAATGAAAAATTTTAAATTATTATAAAGTATAATTTAACAAAAATACATCGACTCACGTTTTTTAAGTCTTCAACTTCGTCATTAAACGCATCATTTTTAGATGTGAGATTAGATGTTAATGCATCAAGATCACAATTTTTTCTAAATAAATTCAAAAATATATAGATAAATGAAGTTATTTTCACAGAATATTTATCCATTATAAAATTTGCTATTATGTGAAATTGTTTATGTAAAATATCAAAATATCAAGTGTTTATTTACTCGTTTTAGCTTTTTAATTTCATCCATTAATGTTTGAATCTGCTTTTCAGAAACTGTTGAAGACATTTTAACGTAAATTGATTTGCTATATTTGGTCAATATAATCAAATCTGGCAGATACCGTGAAAAGTAAATTGTAAATAATAAATATTAAACTATTCTAATTTCTAAACAGGCATTGATTTAGAGACTTAGAGTACATCATGTAAGAATTTCATGTCTTTTTAAAGCAATAAGTATTTTATAGTAATTAGTGCGTAAAATATTTAAAACTTTACAGTTAAAAAATGTTCAAAACTCATTACAAATTGAAATATTAAAAAAAAACTTTCGACAAAAGTCTAACATTAAAATTAATACAGTTAAACATGAACTGCTGGATTGCAATTGCTATGCAATTAAAATAAAATAATGACAATAGTGAATAAAGTTTGATGTGGCATTTATATTATTAAAATTTATTAGAAAATAAATAAATATAGTTAATTAAAACAAAATAGTATATTATCTAATTAATATAATATTATGGTATTTATAATCAATGGCATCTCATAGTAACCTATATATTTTGACAGCAAAAATCACTTACTCAGTCGACAGTGACAGCAAATTAATTGAATGACGAATAATCGCAATAGTAGAACGTCGCGATCGAAAAAATTATCGAAATGACTTTTTAGTTGATTCTTTGTTGAAAATATATTTTTAAGAGGTAGGGGGGTGGGGGGGGGGGGTGTTTATCTTATCGGATCGTCTCTAGTCGTAAAGATCAGCGGTTCATATATCGTGACGATAAAATACGATAAAAATGACAAATAACAGGTACCTATTAGTTTTTAAGGTATTTAACATGTTAATAATAAACGAACTACATGAGATAAAACTACATTCAAACGTTCGATAGGGTTAATTGAGTAAAAAAAATACATATAGTATTATTTTAAATAATGATAGATATTGATACGTTAGTAATGTTAATATTGTATGGTTCATGGCCCAGTACCACGCTGCTTGCAGCTCAAGAGCTGGAAACCGTTAATACAATTTAAAGAGCTATAAAAAACTATTATAGTTAAACAATTTCACGATATCCGACTTAGTTGTCGTGTACCTACGTTACTCCATATGTGTATAATGTATATAATATAGATAATATCGTTTTACCATATTGCTATTTTTCTATTTTCCGTACTATGTACAGAACAGAACGATGAATTTAATACATAATATAATCGAAAGAGTAATTTTGAAGCGTTTATAAAAACGTTAATTAATCAACATGAATTATTGCTCGACTGATGCAATCTAGAGATAATGTCAAGAGTGGCAGTTGCCCCTTAAAATTTTAAAATGAAAACAAAGATATCGTTTTACCCCTCCCCTATTTTTAGCTCTAATTTATTGTACACTACCTGACTTTGCCCGTGTACAGATTTTAAATACACTGTACTACTTATATTAATTAATTTATCTAATTTTATTTGTGTTGAACAATTATTTATATACTTTTTTGAATTATTTTGTACGCGTTGAGTTCGTAATATTAATTTTATGTTTTGAAGTATAATATTTTTCGGTGTATTTTGATATATAAAAATTTTAATTTGGACGAGTAGTTAATGAGTTATAGAATTTAAAATTTTAGCGAGTGGAGTGTTGAGGTATACGCCGTAAAATTTTGGTCTACTACTCCGCTTACCTAAACTTTAAATACTTATAAAAGTTATAATTTATAAGCTACACGTCCAAATTTCGATTTTTATGTATTACAGTACTTAAAAAATATTCTACTTCAGAATATGATATTAAAAATAAATGTTGTCATTCAAAAAAGTAAAAAACTTAAAAATGATAACGATAAATTTTAAAAATGTAGTTTATTTACTGGAAATTAAGAAATAATTTTTTTTCCAAAAACATAAATATATTTTGAAATAATAATTAATTTTGTTCTATAAATGAACCATTCAGTATAAATTACAATTATTTTTTTTTAAGTAGCCAACATATTTTTCTGGACGTGTTTTTTAGTAAATATACCTACTAATAACTAATGAGTCGTTAAAATATTTATATTGCATAGATAGAACTATAAAAGGTACACTTAAGATTTTAATCTATACATTATAATATGAATTCTGAAAAGTACTAACTATTAAAATATGTTTACTAATTTTACAATTCCACAAAAAAAGCAATGATTGTTATATAATTACTTGTACTTATTTTATGTCGTAATCACTTTGTGAAATCTATCCGTTCACATTTTATGAAATATGAAAATAGGTATTTTACGGTATTTTAATTTTAATAATATCACAATGGGTTTGAGGATAACAGTCTTAGATTTCAAGCAATGAGATGGATGTATTGATTTTACGCAATAATGTCATTTTTATATATGTGTACCTATATGATTTATAGTAGAAAATTGCTTCGATCTTCGATTTTGAGAAATATAACTAATAGTAAATTGGATTTTATAGGTGTTTTAGAGGTAGAAACAGAAAATTCATAATACTTTTCAAGTTATTCGAAAAAACAAAGTAAATAAATAAAATTTTATGCAAATTCAATTTTTGACGAAAATTATTTTGTTATTTTGGGAAAACTTAAAAGCGAATAATCGCAGATACCTACTTGAAATTTTCACCAAATGTTTGTATAATAGTTTTATCTATGTTTATGATAAAATTCTCAAAATATATTGACTCTTTTAGTTATTAATAGACACGAAGAATTTTCAAGTTTTCAAAGTTTTTTGTGTAAGTGTCGATTAAAAATAATTCACTTCGCAATAATTCTTAAAAAAACTTTATACAAGATCTTACATGAGTTGTTTTTGTACTCGTTTAAATGCTATAAAAATTTAAATGGGCACAATTTTTTTTTTTTATATGTATTTGAAATTATATTTTTACGAAATACCAAAAATTTATAAATTATAAATATTTTGCAAGAAAACTTTTTTAAAATTATCAATTTTTATAGCTAAGATATGAAAATTTAATACTATGTTTCTCATACGTGTATTAGAAATAAACACTATTATTTGTTTTATGTCTTTAATTTAAATTTGGGCAATATAATGGTCCTAAAGCTACATATACAGAATGTTCCAAATTTCATGTGACAGCAGATTTCAGCATGATAAATTTAAATTAAGAAAAAATGACTTACGTGAAGACCTCTATTTGAATCATATAATCAAAAATAATTTAATAGTAATAACTTTTTTTATTAATTGAAGAGGAGATTTTTAGGGGTAACTTTTTAAATTCAAACCTAACTTATCCTGCAGGGGTGGAAAACTTATTTATTTCCATGTTTGTTCTTTATTTCGTTTAATAATATATTTAGAAGAATTTTTCGTCTCTGGTATTAAGATAATTTTAAAACCTAACCTTGAGAATATAACTGCAAGTTTTTAAAAAATTATGTTAAAATAGGTACTAAAATCTAAGATAACCTATTCATATTATTATCTATAATTATAAACACATCGATTTTCAGAAAAAGAAATGCAATTAAGACATCATAAATAAAAATAATCTGTTATTGGTTATAACATAAAACGATAATACGGATATACGTTTTGTACTAACTACTATATACTGTAAAAATTGAAAATTCGGTAGCGTGCAGATTATTAAGGCTACACAAAAAATGTTTCGACGTATAACAGAAGTACAAACATATATCATTATTATTCATTGAAGACATTTTACGAATTAAGTACAAAAATCAAATGTTTTTTAATTATTGATACGTAGTTATGAATGATATATCAAAATTCATTAAAAAATAAAAATAAAAATAAATCCTATATGAATTATATTTAAAAAATGTAGGTTCCCATTTGAATTTTAAGTCACTCTAAAAATTCATCTTTTTTAATTAATAAAAAAATAATGAATATCCAAATTAGTTTAGATTATATGATTCAAAGAGGTTTTCACATAGGTCATTTTTTCCTAATTTAAGTATATTATGTTGTCACATGAAATTTGGTACACCTTGTATGTACTTAAAGTATAAAAGTTATATTATGGGATCGTTGATATTGTTATTGATAAGTTATATATATATTATTTAAACTAAATCTCTACAATTTTATGGGAATTTTGTAATATTTTTCTATTTTATGAAAATATAACTAAATAAATTGGATTTTTCTTACATACCTGACGAAATACGCAAAAGCAAATTAAAGTGTCTATAACATTTTTGGTTGAACCCTGAGAAATATATGAAAATATGTTTTTGAACAAATTTCGTTAATTCAAAACAGTATGATATCACTTATAAATATATTTATTTTTTTAATGTATTTTTTTAACATTTTAATGCTTAGGCTTTGATTTTTTTTTATCGACTTAATAAGTATAATAGTATGTCTCAAATTAAAAATGTAATAATCGTTTAAATAAAATTAACTATAATATTATAAGTAGTCTGATATATTTTTATAAATGAAAAAACAAACAGTTTAAAGTTTTGAATATAAAAATAATTATTACTACCTTCTAAATAACAGTACAATATTGTTTAATAAGGCACTATGTATGTATGATAAAATTATCAAAAAAAAAAATATATATATATATATATTGTATAATATAGTAATAATAATAATTATAAATTATTTTTAATATTTAAACATAGCGTATACTTTTGCGTATAACTACATAGTACTACATACCTATATAACTAGAAACTTAATATGACATTTACAATATAACAAAAATGAAATTAATAATGAGGGCAAAATACGCGTGTGACTAAAAAGAGAAAAAAATACATTCAAACATAACATGGACTCTAATTAAAAGCAAAAATTAATGAATAAAATAGTTTTTTTAAATTACTAATGCATATTTGTATGTCATAATATAGTATACATGATCGCTTCGATAGTAATGAAAATAATTGTATAATTTTATAAATATTAAACATATTATAACAATAATAGACAAAAAAAATACATGATAAAATGTTTAAAAATATTTATACATGATAGAAAAAAAGTAGATGAAAAACAACAGAATTATTCAAATCTACGGAGGAATAAACTATATTTAATTCCCATAATAATGGCATGATTTACTTAAAAATGCTGTAAAAGAAATAATGCATTAAATGACATAGATAAATAATTACAATACCCATATCATAACACGAGTTTGTCAATTAAAATTTTAAAAAAATCTTATAAATATAGATATTTCATTCGATGGCGGAATGGTCCATTCTCGTTTTCCTCAAATTTCTCAGAAATGAATTCAATAAAAATCTTTGACTATGACTATGAAATTAATAGGCATGTATGGCCTAAAAGCTTAAATACATGGTATACAACGGTAAAATTAAGAACTATCTAAATATATAATAAAAATGTATGTTTTTTGGTGACAAAATAAAATTAAACAAAAAAAAAAAAATCATACACATAGGTATCCATGAAATCTAACTCAAAATAATAATATACAACATTGACTGCACCGTAGTTTCGGTGTGGGTTTCTTTCTCAAATACATTTACAAAGCATATTATGATAGGTATACAATGAATGGCACACTGATTAAATATTATACGGAAACGAAATAAGTATACATAGTAACACGCACACATACTAATTATATTGTAATATGGTCGATTTAAATTTTAATGTTATATACCGTAGGAGGAGACGGAGTAGATTAAAGCTTGTGTCACATCATAACCGCGAAGTTAAAAAATATACACTCAATAACTCCTATATATTATAATATAGGTAATATATACATTTGACTACTATAGTTGTAAATAGTTACGAGACGTTTTGAAACGTATATTTTTCCTATCGTTATTTTGCTCAGATTTTTGAATACAAAGTCTCTCGACATCTTATTGAATAACAGTAGACATTTTTTCAACCATACGGGTTTTCATTCCAATTTCGACACTATTTCAGACTATGACACATAATATATGTGTAAAAAATAATAATAATATTTAGATCCATGTAACTACAACATGTATATGGCGGATTAGTATCATTGTATGGATATCATGTATATAATTTATAGGAAAATGTTGGTTATATTAATTATAATAATATATTGTCGAAGTGCCATTATCTGCAG